TGCTGATGTTACTTATTAATATATTTTAGATTACTAAAATTGAAATAATTTTTAAAAACAAATGTACTTCCTGTATATTGTTTTCCTTTTTACATTTCTCTCGTCTTATACAAAATAGACTAGTCAGTTTCTCTTTTGTTTATAGTCAATTCCTAGTCAATTGAGTTTTCAGGTTCCCATGCACACTAGCACAAAACGATTTTTTTAAAACAAATTACTTCACTGGATTTTTTTAAGAATTCCAAAGAAGAATTTCTTTTGGTTTTAAGTCTACAATGCCTAAATTTGGGGCCAAATCTGCATGTTTCAAGTGTCCCTTTAATACAAACAAATGTAAATTTTTGTTTGGTAGTATATTATATATCAATTTATTTTCTTATTGATTTTAACTACAGTAAAGCTACTGAGGGAAGGTGTTTAAAGGACAATATAAGATGTGTATTCTTTACCTTGGAAATGTTTATATACCGGGAAATATAACCACAACCCTCTCTTCTACCTCTGAGCTTTGTGGCTAAACATTGAACTCTTAAATCTTGTTTGCTTTATTCTCCATTTTAAATTTGCGTTGGATTTTTGGGACTCTTAATCTCAGAGAGACTGAGAAGTGGCTAGGAAAATGTGGATTGGTCTTAATTCCGCCAGAAGTATATTGGGTACAAAGTAGCCATCACTTTGTTCAAAATTTCACCCAAATTCCTATTTTTAAAGAAATTATTTTAGAGAAAGGATGTAGATAACTGGAACATTCACATTTGTGATTGACAGTGATTAACAGCTGCATGTTCCAAGCTGCCAGGCAAGAATGGCAGATTTTACCAGGCCAATATTCTGAGCTGTGTAAGAGTGGAATCCTGGTCCCTTACTCAGGCCAGGTGTCCCATTGCAGTGATTACTGGTGGGAGTAAAACCAGCAGGCTAGAGCTCTGCACAAACTATCTTTAGACACTTCTGGCACTCTAATTTAGCCCTCTTTCCATAGACATGTAATTGGTGCTTCGTATTTTTACAGTAGTTAAAAGATTAAAAACCATGTTTAAATTGCTGCAGTGTACAATGTGCTAGAAAACATTGGGTTTGATTTTTAAAGTCCTCTTAAAATTGCTCTCTCCATTATTACAATGGCAAAATAAATAAACAACAATACAAAAGTCAGGGACAGGCTTGGCTGCATTTGAATTATTCCTAGCAGAGGTGCAATCACGGGTGTGTGGGCGGGGGTGGATTGAGACAGGAGGAGAGGAGAGAAGAGTAGTCACTTTACACTGAAACTCCGCTTGGTATTTCCTCCACATTGCCTTACATGGGGGCATCAGCTGGAAATTGGAAGGAATCAAAGCAGATCTGTTATTTCACAGAAAGAAACCACAGGGCTGATATTCTTTCTTTTCCCGTCAGGCTATTCTCTAAACTGATGAAGGCATTTCAGTGAGACTAACGCCTAGAATGTTATTAGTTAGCACCGCTGCATGGATTAACACCCATTAACTCCAAAAGGGGAGTGGGTGCAAGTCAAGATGCAGTAAGACCCTCCATTGAACTGAGTATTAGGTGAGTGAGGCCTATCAACAAAGGATCAGCCTTAGCCTCTAGCCCTGGAACCGTCTCCATCCTGCTCGCACTCCAGTTCTCTCTAAGATTTGCTCTGTGGATGGAAAAATCATGATGTTGGGCAGATTAGACTAAACGCAATTTCACCCTACCTCTCCCCTGTACATAGTCTCCTACATACAGGGGGGTTGCTTAAACTATCTACCATGCTGGCAGGATTAAAAGGCTGGGCCTGAGATGTACCTGCAGAACAGAGCGCGGGTCAGCCTGTTCCCAAGAAGATTCTAGAGAACACTTCAGGAAACAACTAGGGTGCATGTCTGTGTTGATTGCCCATGTAGAGAACAGCTGGTGGCTGTCAGTTTCACACCTGCAATGCCATGCAAGGTGCTAGTGTGACAAGAGGGGCAGGGAAAAGAAGGCCTGTGACAGAGGCTTTCCATAGGACGCTCCTAAAGATGGACTTTTACTGCCCGAGTGCCTGTACCTAGAAAGAGATGGGGAAAGAAGGAGATGCCTGAAAAGCTGCCACAAGGCAGATCATCCCTAGGCTGTGAGCTCTGCGCTGTCTCACATGTACCAGTTTGCCACGGTCCTTATCCTGGACAGTCAACACTAAGGCGCAAAGTTATGATAACCGCGCAGAGTTACAGAAGTGTTGGGTTGTGCGGGACAGAGGTTTTATTGAGCTGGGTCCTTGGCATGGTCTGTTAGAGCCCATCTCTAACCACTCAGTGCAGGCACAGGCTGGCTCCCTGCGTAAGATTGCCAACTTTCTACTCACATAAAACAGAACACCTTTGCCCTGCCCCCTACCCTGCCCCTCCTCTGAGGCCCTGCCCTTCTCTGAGGCCCCACCCCCCGCTCATTCCATCTCCCCTCCCTCTGTCACTCGCTCTCCCCACCGTCATTCACTCATTTTCACTGAGCTGGCTCAGGGGGTTGGTGTCGGGAGGGAGTGAGGGCTCCTGCTGAGGGTGCAGCCTCTGGGGAGGGGCCAGAAAAGAGGAGTTCAGGGTGCGGGAGGGGGCTCTGGCCTGAGGCGGGGGTTGGGGTGCGGGAGGGGGTATGGGCTCTGGACTGGGTGTGCGGGTTCCGGGGTGGGGCCAGAAAAGAGGAGTTCAGGGTGTGGGAGAGGGCTCCAGGCTGAGGCAGTGGGTTGGGATGCAGGAGGGGGTGAGGGCTCTGGGGGATGAGGGTGCGGAAATGAGGGTTTGGGGTGCAGGAGGAGACTCCAGGCTGGGTCCAAGAGGTCTGGAGGGCAGGAGGGGGATCAGGGCTAGGGCAGGGAGTTGGGGCGCAGGAGGGGGGGGATCAGGGGTGCAGGCTTGGGGTGATGCTTACCTCAGGCAGCTCCCAGAAGCAGGGTCATGTTTCCCCCTCTGGCTCCTAAGCAGAGGCACAGCCAGGCAACTCTGCACACTGCCCCATCTGCAGGCACCACCCCCACAGCTCCCATTGGCCACAATTCCTGGCCAATGGGTGCTGTGGAGCTGGCACTTGGGGCAGAGGCAGTGTTTGGAGCCCCCTGGCTGCCCTCAGGCGTAGGAGCTGGAGGGAGGATATGACGCTGCTCCGGGAACCCCACAGAGCCAGGGCAGGCAGGGAGCCTGCCTTAGCGCCGGGGACCGAACTTCTAACTGCCCAGTCAGCACCGCCACCAGGGTCCCTTTTCAACTGCCTTTCTGGTGGAAAACCAGACACCTGGCAAGTGCAACCCTCGGTCGCCAGCGGCGCACAGGAGACCGCTCAGCGCTGTACCGAACTCGCAGGGCTCGAGCAGACCAAGGCCTGGAGCACGCTGGGAAGAGCCACCAGCCCGCGCCCCGCAGCGGCCAGGCGGGATTTCCAGCGTGGTCTGTGGGGAGCCACCATCTCCGCGCTAGGCTGGCCTCCCATTCTCCTTCACAGGGCGCCCAGCCCAGGAGCACAGGAAGGGCCCTGGCACTTGCAAAACCAGGGGCCACCGCAGACTAAACACACACACCCCGGGAGCGGGGCTGCTCCTCTTACCCGAACAGCGCAGGACTTGCCAGCGCTGCCTGGGCCCGTCTCTCCGCTCGGCGCTGCTCCAGCGGGCGATGAATGGCGGCAATGATGGCCTTCCCGGCGCGGCTTTGTTTGGTGCAGCCGCGCCAGCGGGCAGGGCTCGCTTTCCCGGAGCCCCTTCGACATGCGGGTTTTAAAGGGGGGGACGAGGGAGGAGCTGTGCGGCCACCCTAGCGGGGCTGAGGGACGGTGGTACTCAGTACGGACTGAGGTTTGCTCTGCTCCATCCCAGCCGAGGCGGGCGGCGCCTGGCCGGGGTAGATGAAGGCTACACACCCTTGCTTGCGCTCCCTCTTGCCCCGCAGGACGCCAGTGAAGGCTGGTTTGCATGTGGCTTTTAGACAGGGGGATCCTGAGCCAAAGGCCCTTGCAACCAAGTCCCACAGTGAACGTCTGGCTTCATTCCCTCCGTGCTCAGCAGCAGTACGGGGAAGTGTGGAGCTCTCCTCCCTTGCCCCACGCCTCGCTGGGCGCTGACAGGCAGCCACTCCTTTGACTTGGGCGGCTCCAGTCTCGGCGCCCCCCTGCAGGCCTGCGAAGGCCGGAGGGCGTGGGGGATGCACGGCTGCGCTGCACCGGCAGGGCCCAGGCCGGAGAAGCTGCACGTCTGTAACTCGGCTCCCGCCGGGCCTCTCCCGCTCCACTGGACGCCTCGCTTGGCGTCGCACAAAGGCCGGCTACGTGCTGCTTCCCAGCACGGCGGCGAGCCTTTGCTCTGGCCGACTCCGCGGGCGGGCCCAGAGAATGGGGTGTGCGCTGAGTCTGAACTGACTTACCCCGGCAGCCTCTGCGTGGAGCCGAGGAGACAGACGGGGTGTGATGAACTGGAGCGAGACGGATCCACCTTCCAGATCATTGACTTGGCTGGCGGCTACCCAGCTGATCTGGGGGTTGTCACCAAAGGGAGATGAATAGACACATCGGTCTGCAAACCGATGGCAATTCTGGGCTAATAGAGCCGCTGATTAACAATCCTGCAGCCCTTGTCTCCGGCTATCGCCTCGCTGTATTGCAGGCTCAGAAACGGCTCACATTTTAGCCGCTCTCTGGAGCCACACACAAAGGGCCGTGCATTTCCAGCTGCGTTTCCGTGACACTGTGGGCATGATGGGGCTGGGCCCCACGTAAAGGAATACACTGAATCAGGGAGGCACAGAAATAGCCCGAGGTTGGTTCTCTCTGATTTTAGGCACATCCCCCCCACCAACCCCCCGGTGGCGGTGGAGGCCAGGCTGAGATCAGACCGCCGCCCCCCTCTACCCGTGCCCACTGACGCCAAAACATCAGCTCGCTCAGTCACCTGCCGTCCGGCCTTGAATGAAATGTGAGCCCCGACAGGCAAGGTACCCCCGAGGGCCAGACATGCGTGGGATCGCCAGCCCGGAGACTCCCCCTAATCAGTTCCTCTGTGCTCCTCAGCTTGCCCCTGTGCCAACCTCTAGCCTTCAACTGCCTCCCTCGAGTTGCCGGGTCTTTCTCCCCATTCCGCGCTGAAGCTATCTGGGCACAGCACGCGTGGGGCGTGCCCGGCTCCCGGAGCAAGTTTGGCTGTGCTAAGGACCAGGAAGGCATCCCATCAACCCCAGCCTCCCCCGTCCCTGGGCCGGTCCCGCAGCTGATCTCTGCCCAGAGCCAGCGCGCGGCCAAAGCAGCTCCCAGGCAGCAGCAGCCCACGGCTCGAGGGGAGTCGTGACTCGCGCACGCCGCCCTTCCCCCGCCCCAGGGTACCCGGGCTGAGGGCTCCAGCTGGATAAAAGCAGAGCCACGGTGACCCCCCGTTTGGCCGAGAGACGCGCGGGGTTGAAGAGGGAGCGGATCGGCACCATGGAGAGCGCCTAGCGTCCCTGCCCCATTCCCTCTCCCACTTCCCGCGGCCAGCCCTGTCTCCCCGGCCCGCAGCCCCGCTGCTTCCAGCCTCCCTCTCTCTCGGAGCCCCCGGGGAGCGCCAGGGCGCCGCTGCCTCTCTAGGCGCCGGCGCGCGCTGCCTGGCGCTTGCACACGGGGATACTCGCACACGGGGACACTCCCGCGCTGGGACTCTCCCTCCCACATAGCTCGTTGCAGCTCGCCGGCTCCTAGGCACTGTTGGCAGCTCCGCAGATGGCAACGCCAGGCTCCGGCTTTTGGTCCTTCGGCTCCGAGGAGGGATCGGGGGATGCGGAGAACCCCGGCACAGGTAGGAGCGCGGAGCAGCCCTGGCGGGGGATGAGTTCCACCACCAGCCGCAGGAAAGTTCCCAGCCCCGTCCCGGGATGGGCTCCCAACGCTACCTGCGCCCCGTATCCCATTCCCTGCCTGCAGCCAAGCGGGCTGGAGACCAGCTGGCCAGTTCGTCGCGGTCCGTCCTCACCAGCATTGAGCGCACACTTGGATGCGGATGCGGCAACAAATAATCACCTAGGGATACTCCAAACACCACCCAGGGCAGCGCTGGCAAAGAGAAACGCAGCCATCCCAGCTCCCCTCGGACTTCGCAAGGGACTCGGGACCCAGAGCTGGGTCGCAGAGCAGCTTTATTGTAAAGCCTTGGCTGCAGCTAGAACTGGACCACAGTGCCGCAGGATTCTCCAGGGCAGGAAGGAGCGACGCCAACATAAACCTGAGTCTACTCCTAGGGGGCTTTTACCTGGCTTTGGGGGGGGGTCTCTTTGGGGCGGCAGAGGAAGGCGAGAGGGAGGGGAAGGGTTGTGCTGTTTTGGGGGATATTAAGAAAGTTATGTTCTGTGTTATCCGGAATGTGTTTGCTCTTCGAGATCTGAAAGTTAGACAGGAGGGACAGTTCCCATCCAGCCTGGAGCAAGACCAGGACACTTGAACCACGCCGTTTCCGAGATGACCCTACAGAAGGTATGGTACACCCCAGATAATATACACAGCCCTTTTTCTCTTCCAGCAAAAGCGTGGTGTCAGGCTGCCCAGAAGTTTACGGGAGGAATTGGAACCAAACTCTGCGGTAAGCGAGGGAAACCAGTGGTAGCAAATTGCATGAAAATGGGCAATAAGCAAGAAAGAATTCGCAGCCACCTGAGGGACCTTGGAGGGATTCTAAGTCCTTTTGTGCTGGCAAAGAGGGTTAGTGGATCGCGGCGGGGATTGTAGTCCAGTCCCTGTGTTTTAAGAGCTGTTGTATTTAGGCTGCGTCTTTTGTGTCACTGTTAGCTTTGCTGTATGGGGATGGAGAAAAGCCCATGGAAACCGGGGCGAAGGAGGACCTGGGCTCCGCGGAGAAGACACCGGCCTGTACCTGCAACAACAAGCCCTGTAGCTGCCAGAAAGCGGATATTAATTATGCATTTTTACACTCAACAGGTAACGGTACCGCGTGTGTGTGCTTGAAAGTAGGAATGGATGGAAAGCCATTACTCCGACTTCTCAGCTGCTTGGCTTTCTCAGCCCACCGTAACCCTAGGGGCAGACCTTTCTCATACACACAAGGGGTGGAGACCCACAGACGAGCTAAATGATAGAAATTCTCAGGGCTATTCTAGCACAGCATGACGGCACGAAGGAAGGTTTGGGACGGGGCTATATGGACAGCACAGAAATTGGGATTATCTATATAGATATGTGTCCATATAAACCCAGTATTGCTTTTCGGAGCTGGTTCTAATCGGGCCTGCCTGTGCAATGGCCCTGCCATTAAAGCAGAGGGGATGTACACTCAGAAGAAGGGTTTCCCTGTTCCACTCCGAACTGCGGGATAGTCTAGATGACAAACTTGCCATATTAATGAATGAACAGCCCAGTCTTTCTGGTCCAGTAAATACCCCAGACCCCAAGGGGGATGTGCTAGTGAGAAATGGTCCCATTCGAACCACCAGCTCCGCAGGGTTCCCTTCTCCTGGCCCATCGGGTCAATGGACAACAAGCAGCCTTGATAATCTCCTACATATTTAACCGCTACAGTGCTACAAAGATTCAGTCACAAGAAATAGGGGATTCCCTTAGCGCTCTGTGCGGCCGGGCCTGCACAATTCAGTTTAAATAAAGATACAACTATAAATAAATAAACATATGAATAAATCAGAGCATAACATATTATTTCACGGAAAGGCATTCAAGCATCACTAAGGTATTGCAACCCTCCCATTTGACCAAACACAAAGAAGCTATTTTATTGTGATGCTCTTCTGGGTCTTCCACTTGTGTCATTTACAGTACAGGTATTTGCCTATTTTCCCCTGAAACTCTTTTCATTATTTCTTTTTCCCTTTTCTGTCTTTTTTTTCAGTGTTTTTAAAGTCAATCATAAAATGCAGTTTTCAACACAAATTTCTAGTTAACAATGAATTTAGAGCTTGACCATATCTCCTAGAAAAAATATTTTTGAAATAAGGTCTCATCAGATTGCTTACCAAATTAAAACCCCGATCCTCCGCTCACTGAAGTCAATAGAAAAGCCCCAAAGTCAGTGGGGGCGAGATTGTGTCAAAAAATCTACACATTAAACAATAAACTGGAGCTAACATTTTATGTAATTCCCCCCTCAGATCTTCTGCCAGCGTGCAATGGGGAAATAACAACTCTGTCTTTCCTACAAGATGTTATGGATATTTTGCTTCAGTATGTGGTGAAAAGTTTTGATAGATCAACAAAGGTTATTGATTTCCATTACCCAAATGAGCTTCTTCAGGAATATAATTGGGAACTGGCAGATCAACCACAGACCTTGGAAGAAATTTTGTTGAACTGCAGAACAACTCTAAAATATGCAATCAAAACAGGTAACAGGCATGCTGAGATTCTATTATGTGTGATTTTTCTACTATTTTTTTAAATGTCACTTGCGGATCCTTGGAAAGTCAGTGAAGCAGGGATAGCATATTACCCTGTGTGGCTTTAAGCAGTTATTGTCATTTGTAAATACATAACAGTAGATGAAAGAAAGAAAGAAAACTATTTATCGGCGCTATTAATATTTTCCTAAGTGAAATGTACAGTGTTATAGTTTAAGTACAACAATATACATTCTTCCTGGTCGAAATGAATGTCCCTGTCAGTGGTGGAACCTGTATATATCAATCGCTACGAAATAACATTCTCCCACCTCTGTGGCTCTTTTAGCACTTAATTTTTACACCGAGCACATTTTGGGCCCCCATCTTCCATTCTTTACGCTCTTCATCCTAACCCGCTAATGGGGACCAAATTCCGCGCTCGGTTACAACTGTATGAATTTGGAGCTAAACAAATGTAAATCCGACGTAGCAGAATCCACTCCCTGAGTGCTCAGTTCATAAGGAATGCAGGATAGGGGCCCCTGAAGCAGAGATTTATTGCTAATCCCCCAAGCGAGCACTTCTAAGAAGAAAGTGTTACCGTTGACTGCTGGGGTGGGGAGAAAAGAAGCAATTAATTAATTTGTCAACTAAAATTGCCATAAGAACCACACTAATGGAAGTTCTGAGCAGACAGCTGTGTGCTGGTGGAGATGTTATTTATACAAAAGGCCACTAACTCTCCTGTGTGCCAAATGGCTCGAGAGCTGGTGCTTCGGCTTTGCATCAGATAGCCCTGGCTTTGACTTCCGCATCTCCACACAGTCTAAAAAAGCTGGATGCAGAGAATGAACAATCCCATTTTCCCGGAGAACGCGATCTGGCTGCCCACTCCTGGGCTCGGTGTAAAAATAGGAGAATCTGGCGCAATGGAACGCAGAAAACATGTTTTTTCCCACTGGATTTTAAGCATGAAAAATAGGAGCTTGTTTAATGGCTATTTTTGTTATTGTCATGACCAAAAAATATTCCAATTAATTCTGATCTGTCCAGAGACAGCACCATTTGTCCCTGCTCATGTCGTTATTATCTCCACTTAGGCAACCTGCCACGTGAAAATGATATTCTCAGTGATGCTAAACAGAATTCAGCAAATTCTTATGTGGACCCATCTAATTAAATTCCCACCGAATAAACAGAAAACAGAGGCTGCCTTTAGCCTCTCTTATACTGTTATTTAAAAGAACCATTTGTAGAGAAAACAAGGGTTCGGGAAGCTCCCGCTGGCATTTGAATTGCTGGGGAAATATTTTTTAAATAGTATAAATCCTTTCAAAATGTGGGTCCAAAAATCTGAAGGAGACGATAATGTGATGTGCGTATCGGCTGAGTAGACTCTGCGGGAAACACAGCTTGTAGCCTTTTAACAAATCGAATGGAGTGAAATAGACCCGATCCCGATCCTTTGGTGTCTTTGGCAAAACTCCCATTGACTTCAAAGGGACAGGATCGGTCCGGTGTTTTTACTATTTGATTCTGATGTTACCAAAGCTTCCCTAAAAATATCCGGGCAACATACATAGGAAATAATTGAAGTAGCTACATTTGGTGGAACTCCTGGTCTGGGGTCGCAATATGGCGTAGGAAACAAATATTTAACTGGATTAGATCAAACACTTTAACACAGTTCAAATAGGATTTGTTAGACTCGCTCTACTAGTATACAGGTGCAATTTGCATTACGCTTCAGTGCATATCGACGCAATAAAATTACTGTGAAGTGTACATATACAAATCCTTCAAAATAATGTTACTGTTTCCGTTGTGCCATATAAATGTGGGGAAATTTCCCCATTTGTAATTAAAATATATAGAGGAATTATACTTTAAATTACATTTTAAAAGTTCAAATGACTGCAATGACCATTTAAAAAATTTAAACATTTTTTTTAAATAAAGCTGTTTGCTAGGGCTTCTTTTAGTTTCACCAAGCAAGTGGTCAAGCTAGTACCCTGGTTTTAGAAGAAAACAGGACCAAGGGAATGCAACTCCAGACACCCTTTGAATGTGATTGTATTCCCTTGAAATAAATATGATGTATTGGCTCAGGGCTATCCATGTCCACTCAGTATCTCTAATCAGGAGTGTAGTACCCTCTGGATTCTTCCAAAATGTCAGGCATGTCAGAGCAGCCGCAAGAAACTGGCAGTCAGATTTCGTTTGCACGTTTCACGTATACATGCCTGTATTATTACCTGTCTCGTTGAATAGTAATGCTATTTAGCCTCTTAAAACAATTGTCATTTCGCTGCTATTAGTAGCCTTCTTGATACCTCAAGATGCTATTTCATACGAATCTCAGGCTGGCACTACGTTTACACCAAAGCCCTTTCCCCCGTGTGATGTACTTTGAGTTGCACGACGAAATCTTTGCAGTTGCAGGTGAAAGGGTCGCTGTGCCATGACTACAGGATGTAAATAACGAGTCTGACACCAATGTGCAGTATTAGGCAAATACAGAAGGCACGGCAGGGTTTGGAAACAGTCTAACTTTCTGGAGTTTTTTGTCACGACTGTTGTGGCAATGGTCCAGCACCACAGCTAAACATCGCCCATATACATCTCCACACGCAATAAACAAAGGCGCCGGGCATCCGCCCAGAATTGTGAAAAAGCGCCCGGGCCCTGTGTCAAACAGACCGGGGGAGTCCGACCAAAGAACGTGCTTTGCTACATTAAGATTTTGGGGGGAGTGTATAAATGAGGGCATGTCAGTTGGACTGAGGCTCGGTTCACCCTCAGAACTGGATCCCTAGACTTCCGACCAGCAGACCCTTGCTGAGCCTCAGAGCTCATTTGCTCAGCTAGAGAGACCATTTTCTGAAGCAGGAACGCCTGCCTGCCTCCCTATTCAGCCCCGCACTTCCCGTTTGCTAGCTTAATAGATGAGTTAAGATCAGGTTCCCAACGATATGGTTGTCTGTCATTCTAACCAGAGGAGCAGTGTATTCCAGCAGCGGCCGCCGCCGCTTCGTGGAGAGGTTCTGACAAGATCCGTTCTGAGCTGCTGGGTGAATTTAGAATGTGATGCTTGAGAAAATACCCTGAAGCAGCCTTGGGATCTTTATCTAAGCAGAGTCGATGTGCTTGCTAATGAATTAGAGGAAACAATTGGTAATAAACAACTTAATTGATTAATTGAGCCTCCTATTCTGCAGCCAGATCCGGTTTCCCAGGCTTTATTCCTGAGGACTGTCTTCTCTAGTTGTTTACTCTATGGGTTGATTATCAATATTAAAAATTCACTGTGTATTGCTTAATTGCGATTGGTTAAATATGTCACGTGGTATTTCTCCCCCGCTTCTTGACTGGATAAGTGCGTCGGTACAGGTGCGTCTGGTCCGAATTTTTATGTTTGTTCAATTAAAATTCAGCTTCTGGGAATACTGGTGTATGTAGCGTTGCCATTCATTTCCAGAGTTTGCTGGAGTTTAAAAAGTAATGGAAATTCCAGACAGTGAGCAGACTAAGAACTAGTGTTTGTCCAGCAGTGCTATTTGCTAGGTAGCAGGTAGGAAATACAAAAGGTTCATGAAGATGGCCAGAGCAGATTCATTTACAAAGCTGAATGAATACCAATGGCTCTGTGTATGTGTCTATGTTAGAGGGCAACAGAAGACTGTAAATAAATAACAGAGAATGCAAAGGGTGAAAGTGCTGCCAGCTGAGGATGTCAGTGCTCTGGGATTGTATTGGTTGCTCTGACTCTGGCTCACTGTGCTACCATGGGCACATCACTTACATCAATTTGCCCGTCTGTAAGATGAGGATAGTATTGGACTTCCCCATTTCATAGGTGTGCTTTGCAGCTTGATTAGTGTCTGTAGAGTGCATTGAGCTCCTTGGGTGACAGAAAAATATGTCCAAATTATCTATTTTTAAGTTAATAAATCCAGCAGACAGTGGTATTCTCCTGTTTCCCTTCAACCCACCCCAGATTCGGATTACTTACAGACCCCTCCTCCTTCAGTTAGTTGCAAAACACTGTTGATAGCCATGCACTGAGGTAGGAGAGCACTGTTCTACTGCTTTTGACTAATTCCTCAAGCAAGATCTGCTTATATGGTCAAGTGGGGTTTAAATGAGACTAGAATTTATTTCGGCCATCCAATAGGGTGAAAGAACTTTACAGTCTCTCTAAGACCTTAAGCAGTCCCAATAATGGAGAAATACAAGCATCTATGATTAGAGTCAGATTATCGCCTCTCCTGTTTTATGTGGAGAGTAGGGCCCAAATTTTGCTGAAGCGGTGGTGAGTGAAAGCGTCATTCTCCCTGCCTCCTTTGCTCTGAGGATATCCTTGTGAGAAGGCTATATACATGCAAGACTCTATGGTTTTGAAGGGAATGTGGGTGAGCCAGCACCAGGTAGAGCTGGGGAAGAACCTGTCTCTTGACCCCCCTGAAAATGTGTGGGAATTTCCCCAGGTCCACAGATAAGGCTAACCCTGTCAGTACAGCTTACAGAACATCCTGTTGCACACTATCTGGCATCGGCAAAGGCAGGGGTTGTTTGGTCCAGCTGTGGATAAGGAAAATGTTGAGCACATAGTTCCTCAGGGAGCTGTGTTGTTATGGGAGACTGGAGGTAGGAAATGGCAGGAGACACTGGGCTCTGCAGAAATGCACCAGAACTCTGTTTTTCCCCAGGATTTCGCCATAGACTCCCACCTGGACCCCCAGGGGGTTTCCCAGACTTTCAGTGAGTTTTCCTGAGGGAGGACATGATTTGACCCTTAATTGTTGAAAGCTACCACAGAATATCACATCTTCAGAGAGGCTGGAATTCACTTGCTGGTGGAGAGCCTGAGCAAGGTCCTCCTACATCGCTGAATATCTGTGGAATCCTTGTGTCGCTGGAGCAGTATGGCCATGCAAGCCCGAATGGGAAGTTCCGAAGTCCCCTGAACATTAGTGGGATAGGCTCTGTGCCAGTTTCAAAGATAGAGGGAAGCATTGATGATTGACCAGAGAAAGGGGTCATGGATCTGTGCTTATGCTGTACCAGTGGTCAGCAATCCTTGCATAGAAGGTGTGGGCTGCTATGTCCCTGGATTATGGGATGGGGGGAATTGGATTTTGTTTCCAACTCTCAACCCAGGCTTACTTCCAGCCACAAAGCCCAATTACTTAGACTTTGTGTGCTGTGAGCTGGGGGGCAGGTGAGTAATTCTCGGCACAATTCTTTCAGCCATGTGTATGTGCCTGATAACAGACCACAAGAGACTAGGAGATAAGTTTTCTATTGGTTTTTGTTTGCATTTCCTAAATCGCCCTGCTGTATTTTATGTTTCCCAAGCGGTCAGTACCAGTCTGCAGTCCTTGGGTTAGGACAGGTGTTTTCTAAGCAGGAACACTTTCCTTTGAATGAGATGATATTTACGTAATTGTTAATCTTTCAAAATTCTTGCTGGTAACAAAGCCGTGTAACTCTAAACAGGGGGGCAGGACATGACTAGTCAAGTGAGCTCTAATGACTTATTTGTTTTGTCCCAGTTTTAATAGCTCTGGGCATATTTTTGAAATAAAATATCTGACAGGAGGTCAGAAAAATCCAGAAGTCAGCAAGAGAAACCTTGTAAATGGACTACCCAGCCCACTGAATATATTTTCACGCATCATTCCGACATAGCAGCAATGTTCCCTTTCGTCGGGTTTATTTAAAATCACAATTACTCGGAAGCTCTGTTATTTATAATTGTATTCTGACAGTGAAGAAATGACAAATATTACCACAGTCCATGCCATATTTGCACAATCATCAGCCTCTGAGTCATGTTCAAAGCAGTCAGCAAAGTGTTCCATTTTCTCATTTTGCCCTGTCTTTTATAATCATTAGCCATTCATCACTGATGTTGTTATAAGCAGTGTCAAGCACCTCAGATGGTGTGTTGTGCATGCCTTTCAAACGTAGCCCAAGCAAAAGCACAGTCAGTGACAACATGTGACACACCTGCAGGGGCGGATAGGTATTTTAGTGCAGCAGCATCATGCTAATTTTCAATACAAATGGCAAGAGCTTATAATTCCAGTACAATATAATTTGAGTACAAATGATAGATCTTATAATTCCTAGCTCTACTTCATTGTTCCTATTTTACTTATTTTGAAATAAGAAAGGGGAAAATAATCTCCCCATGACAAAAGATCTGTTGTTGTTGTTATTTCACACATTGATGATGTTTTTCCATTGTGTAAAAATCCTGAGATAAATACACCAATCAGTACTGAGCAATTTCATTTTGCTTCATCAGACTTCTGATACATTTTTTCCATTTTATGCAGGGCATCCTAGATATTTCAATCAGCTTTCAACTGGACTGGACATGGTTGGATTAGCTGCAGACTGGCTGACATCAACAGCAAATACTAATATGTAAGTAGCCAAATTTGCCACTATCATTATCTAGGTTAATTTTAAAATTAGATTCCACAGTATTTGCTGTAGCTGTAGGTCAAAGAAAGCCTTTCATGTGAAACTAGCAGGAAAAACATTTGTCTGCCTTTTAAATTTTAATACAGCCATCATGTTATTTTAAAACTGCTTTGTATGTTGTCTCCCATAAAAAAAATGCATCACATAAATAAAATGACAGCTCTGATAAAATTCCTGCAAGTGAAGGGGAAAATATTTTTGTATTTTGCATACATAAATATGTAAAATGTGAAATGGAAACACAAACAGATGCTGTTAGGTAAATAGACTTGCTGACAAAAGAACCTGACCTTGCAACCCTTACTCATGTGGGTTAGTGCCATTGGTTTCAGTGGGACTATCCAAGTGGCGAAGGGCTGCAGGGTCAGACCCACAGTTTATTTGTAAGGCTCCTGGCCTACAAAGTGTTCTATGCACATCTTGCTTTATGCACCATGTCTCATTGACTTCAGTGAGACTACATTTGCATGTGAAGTGAAGGGCCTTGTTCTGGTCAATAGCTCTTGAACACATTGTAATAATGTGAGCCCCTGTCCTGCAGGAAGCTGAGCAAGCTCCACTCCTGCTGAAGTCAGTGGGAACAGAGTCCTCGCACCTCACAGGAGTGGGGTTGAAAACATTTAAACTTCAAGGCAGAAAGAAAGTAATCAAATATACTGCAAAATATAGTTCTCTGCACTGTACACTATACCGTATATATACATAATATGGATTCAGGGTTTGACAGTGGAAACAATTGTGTAGATATTTTAAGTAGTAAATTAATGTTTTAAATAAAAAGAATAAAATATGGCCATTACTACATTTCAGGTTCACCTATGAAATTGCTCCAGTGTTTGTACTTTTGGAATATGTCACGCTAAGGAAAATGAGAGAAATGATTGGCTGGCCAGGGGGCTGTGGCGATGGGATATTTTCACCTGGTATATGATATTTCAAGCTTTCTTTGTGTTTCAGACTATACTATGACAGACCTCATAACTAATCTAGCTAAAGAGGCAATACAATGAAATCCACAGTTTCAAGAGGTCACTCACTAATAACAACCGCTGTCCTCTGTTGGATAAAAGTACTGCATATTTATGAAATTCAGGGATGTGATTATTAGGGATTTTAATGTCTGTCACTATTGAATACTCCCTTCAAGCGAATTGTGCTGCATTATGAACAGCAATAGTAGTGCATGGAAAACATAATCAGAAAAGACATTTGCCCTGCAGTTCTGCTATGGTCCTACTTTCTTATGGATTACATAAAATAAAAGACTATAGTGTTAATAATGAGACAGAGAAACACTCTGATGCCCTCCATCATTACAGTAGAAATTTAAGTGAGCAGGATAATGTATCATCCCTATCAGTAAATACAAAGCCTGGCCAATATCTTGCAAAGCCTTATGTTTGTGAATAATTTTACACAGGTGAGTTGTCCTATTGAGTTCCATGGGACTGCTCATGTGAGTAGTTATTCAAGTGTGCAAGTGCTTGCAAGATCAGAGCCCTAGCTTCTTCAAGGCAAATCAATAAGTCAAGAAATGAGTATGATTAACTATAGAGGAATCATTGTCAGTTCCAAGCACTATTTCCTTGAGACATCTGATTTTTTAGCATGCCATTTAATCTTTTGCATTACACTCTTCTTCACTTCCCATTTTACTCTGAAACTTTATTATTTAAAATTACTTCTGTATTTATCTCCCAAAGCCACAGAAACTATCCAGAAAAGGGACAAAGACTTAGCACTGTATAGATTACCTTTGTCAATTTCACAGCAACAGAATGACCTCTGCGGGAGGAATCTGTTCTGGAAAGAAAGGTTCAGTGGTCTCACAGGGGGAAAAAAGGATGTTTTGACTATCACCTGATGAGTAGACTGCACAGCTAATCATCACAGGTACTTCTGAGCCCCCCACGTACACTGAGTGTGAAGTTCATTCCTGTGCAGAGGACCAATGCAAAGCCCACATCACATGCCACTCAAGAGGGCTTAAGCAGGCTCATGGGCCTTGTTCTGGCCCTTTGTACAGGGGTGAATTTTAAACATAGTGAAAGCAGGAAATTTATATTACTTATTATTAATGAGCATTTAAATAGTACAATATGAACCTGACCTCATTCCTACTGAAGCAGGGGGAGTTTTGTTCCATAATGCACAGGAACCTGCTGCTGTTCATGGGCATTACTGTGTCTGCTCACAGCCAAAGCACTTCACATACAGAATGTGAAAACCAGAAAGGGGTTAAGTAGGCAAACTGCAGTGCGATCAGCAACAGTGTACAGATAGGAGCAAATCCTTCATTACACTATCATCACTTTCCTTCTCCTGACATAAGGAGGGAGGACTGGATTATGCCTTGCTGAAAGTCAATATTATACATGGCTCTATAGCTATTTGTAGACCATGGGTCAAATTCAGCCTGGACTATGTTGGTTCAATTCCCATGGAAGTCTCTGGACCAAATCAACTGTAGTGTAAATTACATGTTGGATGTTAAGGTGGTCAGAGAATGAGTGTAAGTGTTAAAGTTGTGTAGCTTGCAGTGATTTGACATGCAGTGGGTTAGCAAAGCAAGTGTAACATTCAGCAAGTGGCAAATGAGGTGGATTAGTAATCAACAAGAGGGTATTATTGTTCTTATTCATTGTTTGTATCATGGTAGTGCCTGGAAGCTCCAATCAAGCTCATGGCCTTGTTGTATGAGGCACTGTGCAAACACAGTGAGAGACAAGTCCCTGCCCCAAAGATCTTACAATCTAAATAGCAAAGACAGACAAAGAATGAGAGGGGAAACAGAGGCACAGAGTGGTGAAGTGACTTGCCCAAAGTCATATAGCAGGTCTGTAGCAAAGTTGAGAACAGAAGGCCATTAGACAATGCTGCCTCCTCTAAGACAAGCAAAGATAAGATGAAGCAAAGGGAATCTACAGCCAGGTACCACTTAAACCCACTCACGTCTATTTTCTGACCAACTTTATACTCAATGTGCAACTTACACCATTGTTTATATCACATCTGAATTTGTCTCACTGCCTCTAAAAGCTTCCTCTAGATTAGAGGATTTCACCATGTCATGGTGCCATACTAGTTAACAGTATGTCCTACTAACTAGTTGTATTCTGCTACTCTAGGTTTCATTTGTGGGGTGCTCATTGTTTCTGCTTTGCATACAATCCCTGAGACATTCTGTATGGTTGTGTTTGCCTTTTAGCTAATTGCTCTCTGCACAGCACTACTAATCAGGAGGTGGCACTAAGAAAAATGCTGTCTCTTAGGGAGTTATTGAGGCTGCGTGTACAGTGTTTGTATTCACAATTAGAGCTGGCCAGGAATTTTTTGATGAAATATTTTTGCATCAGAAAACATTGAGTAGTCAAAACCAAAACTGTGGGAAAGGATCAGTATTGATGAATTTCCTGTTTTGAGAAATAATTGGAAAAAAAGTTTTGTAATTGTCAAAACAGGACATTTCAACATTTTCAAAACAAAAAGTTTCATTTTTCAGTGTGAAACAATGTTTTGTTTTAAAATTTTAGTTAATTTACATAAAAAATATTTTAAAATGTAAAAGGTCAAAACTGAAAAGAAAAATTTCAGTTGACCTGATCTAATTTTTTTTTCAGATGATCTGGTCTCAAAATGTTTTAAGATTTCACCTTTTTTTTTTCCTGATTCTGGATGGAAAAAAATTTGAAATCTCAAAAATTCCTGTGGGGTAGGAAAACCATTTCCCACCAAGCTTTTAATCACAACTAATAAAACAACTTTATAGAGTCTAAAGACTTTAATCGTTCAAACTACATGATGGAGCAGCTCTGTTGGAGTGCAAGGAAACCTAGTAAGAAAAGAGGATTAATAGCAACACTGCTTGGACAGTACAAGCCAATAGACAGGACAGTACTGATGTGGATGGTAATTAGACTCTTGCCTACATGCTCGGGGTCTTACTGATCGCCATATTTGGGGTCGGGAAGGAATTTTCCTCCAGGGTAGATTGGCTGAGGCCCTGGAGGTTTTTCGCCTGGGGCAGGGATCGCTAGCAGGAGGGTTCTCTGCCAATTGAAGTCACCAAAACACAGGATTTGGGGACTTCATCAGCAGAGTCAAGGGAAGGGTAGGGACGGTTTTGTGGCCTGCAGCATGCAGGGGGTCAGACCAGATGATCATAATGGTCCCTTCTGACCTTAAAGTCTATGAGTCTATGAGTCTATATCCTTATTGCTAGATTAAAAGAGTAGCACATTTAGGTAGAGGGCCTGTTTCAGTTATGAAGTCTGGTAGGTGGTTATATGAGGTGGAGTGACCCACAAAACATACACCAAATGGGAGAAATCCTGGCCCTATTGAAGTCAGTGGAAGTGTTGTCATTGATTTCAGTGGGGCCAGGATTTCATCAAATGGGTCAAATTCTGGAAATATGCAGAAAAATGAGGCAGCACCCCTATATATAGCTCTCCTATGTCCAGAATAGGAATCTTCCTTCCCTCTGCGGAGGAGAAACTAGCTTCCAGGGGAAAGGAGGAGTTGTATGTAGGGGCTCCACAATCACTGGTTTATGGAGTGCACATATACACACTGGTCATCTGGAATGTAGTCCTGTATCATTTATATATGATTTCTGATCAGAGAAGATTACTTGTTTATACTGTAATTCACACTTCTTACGAAGCAATAACTACTGTGCCAGATCTGCTTGTTTCGGCAATAGTCAAAACCATCTTTGTCTTTTTCTCTATGTCAGGGTACTATACCATTCCCTTTTAGTTCTAATCCCTGCATCTCCGAATGAAAGAATAGTTTTTATATAAAGCTCTCACTACTGTGAAGAAAAGTCTCTAACTCTATCCATTCTCTGCAATTGACCATATACAGACCTGATTTTGAGCTGTACTTTTACAGGTGTCTTTGGCACCCACAATTAATTATGGGCATAAAAATGTTTCTGCAAAAATGAGCGCCTAGGTTGAGGCCCATTAATAAATGTAATTCTAAATGGCTAAACAATAAAGGGAGTGATAGAAACGGTCCGTTGATGTAGGAACTCCTACATTCTAAACTTGGTGTTGACACTAATTCCATTTGTTGCCTTAGACAAGTCATTTAGACCAAATTTCTAAAACTCAGATGCCTTAATTTAGGCATCTAATTCTACAGTTAAGCAACTGAATACTTTAGGGATGTAAATTTGGCCTTAACCTCCCTTCTTCAATTTCTTCATTTGTAACAATAAGCATTAAAATATCTACATATCTCACAAGGGGTTGTGAAGAATAAATCACTTACAAGCCTGCTTCTGCTCTCATACCAGTTTTACACTGGTCCAACTCCATTGACTTCAGTGGAGCTAATCTTAATTTAAACCAGTGCAAGTGAGATCAGAATGAAATTCACTGCTTATAAAGACTGAAGATTAGTCTTAATTTAAAGAAAAACCCTGAGCCAGAGTACCAGTTAGAAAGGGAGATACAAGCACAATTCTTGGCATACAATGGAATAGTATGAACATAACTCCATGTTCACTGTAACAAAAAGAAAAAGCCAAAACAATGGCCAGACCAGAGCCGGAGCTGGTGTAATGTGATGTAACTCCATTGACTTCAATGGAATTACTCTGATTTTCACTTGCTTACAATCTGGCCCACCATTTTTAAACCTAAAACATAACCATTAAGCAGATACAGAACTATTGTAAAACCTGCACCCGGGGTGCATTATATCCCATAGTAACAATGGGTTGCTAGGCTATATCCAGATCTTACTTATCTTATCAATTGCTGAACTACACGTCTATTTTACTGAGCTTTTAAAAAGGAAAGAAACTGAATTACTGTGTTTTTTGGTGTCTAAATTGTTTAATTTAAGCATTAGAAACTGAATTATATAGATCAAAACGTAGTACAGCACTAGACTAGGTGAATCAATCTGACACTTGAAACTGATAGTTTTAATCAATGTATGAAAGTGATTTTGATAGACTATTGTTAGAGAAATTTAATCCCTCCCCATCTCCCAACCCCACTGTGGGGGGGAAAAATCCTTTCAGAGGGCAGGGTTGGTAATAGATTTTAAAATAAAAGGAACAGTTGTTGGACTGGTGTCCTTTTTTTTTTCTTTTTCTTTTTCTGGTTGCCCTAATGCTTTGACCTGGTGGTATATCCAGGACACCAGATTTGGGACCGATGCTGGAGTCTTTGAGGGCAGAGAGCATGTAACTCTCATGTGCCACTTGGCAATTTTCCCTGTGGTGGTTTACATGTTGAAAGAGGCCCTTTGCCTTCTCACACATGGGGTCAGAGCATCACATAAGAATACAAATTAGCAGCATGTGCAACTGTTCTTAGGAAAGAGAAGGACATGTTTGGGGAATGTGGGGAAGTGGCATCCAGGAATAGGGAGAGGGCAGAAACCCCATGACCCCATTCTGGCAAGCTTAACTTTTCACATGCTTGTCTTGGGGCGTGGGAGGTGTGTTAATAGACCCATTTGGTCTATCCCCCTCTCCCCCCGATTAGAAGAACAATGAGCAAGAACCATTCATGCTCCCTTGCCTATGAACTTGAGTTGGAAAAACTGTAATAAGAGTGTAGTTTGTACTAAAATGATGTTAATAATGCATAGAAAAAATAACAGTGTATTACTGTGGACTCCAGGTGGTGCCATATCTAACATGTATGCTATGTTGATTGCACGTTTCAAGATGTTCCCAGAAGTCAAAGAGAAAGGAATGGCAGCTATTCCCAGGCTGGTTGCCTTCACCTCAGAGCATGTATGTGTTTCTATTTTATCCAGTTTGTTAAACTTGCTTTTGTTAATTAAACCAGGACAGAAAGAATACCCGAGCAAGGGATTTGTAGCTATGTGGCTTCATTTCTGTTATACTCTCATTGGGAATAAAAAAGGGTGGTTTCTTGTTACATGAAGGGATATACTGGATGCTTGATGTTGAAATGCATGATATTCTAAAGCAAGGTCTATAAATCATTGTGTCTTTCTGGCTTTCACTTATATCTGTGTAAATCTTAGTGTGAAATCCAGTGTGTGTGAGCTCAGAATCAGGCTCTATAACACTCTGGCAGTGATTTCTCTGTTTATATCGCTCTAATGGAAATAGCAAATCTCTGTAAATCCAAACATCAGTAGCTGACACTGTTCCTACTGTAATTTAAAAACAATGTGATAACATACATGAAGATAGTAATATTTAAATGCTATACTTGCAGTAGAATAAATATCAGATCTGTGCTTGCTGCTGAATATGGGGGGTAGGTTGACTTTACCATTGATTTATCACCATGAACCAAACCCTGAGTCCAGCTTCTTTGGCAATAAGGGTTGCATATGCCCTAGACACTTGCATAAACTGGCTGTGCACTGAGCTGACCAGTGCTAGGATGAGGGGAGGTGGCTTCACACATAGGATGGTGGGGAGAAAAAACCACAACTGCCCAATGTGTGGGAGATGTAGTGAGTTTCCCACTCCAGACTCTCCCCGTGGTGGAATTAGCTTGACTTTAGAGCTGTATTAACCTCCCCATGTAGGAGAAGAGGGTGGAAAGAGAAGACAGGGCCAGGCTTCATGCTCCCCCTCTAAATTTCCCTCCAGCTGACTGCTTTCAGCCAATGAGGAACCTTTGCCTGCTAGGGCATCAGCAGAGGCACTGCACATGCTCAGTGCCTCCCCAGGCATAATCCTCAAAGACCTCACTGCCATATGTGGCAATGTGAATGGTCAAAGTTGGGGTGTCCACCGCTGGGAAGGACGAAGGTTAAGTGGCCTCAAAGCTACTATATGGGTGTCTGCAGGGAAGGTCTCTTCCAGGACCTGTGTTCGCTCCCGTGTCTGCAGAGACTAGACGGTCCTGCAGGATCCACACTTCAGAGCAGCTGGGCTAAGAATTTGGCCCCACAGCAATCAGAGAGAAAAATAAACCATAAAATAATAATGACTATCCAAAAAGGCCATGCGGCAACGGATACATAATCAATAGAAGACCAGAAACCCAGCAAATTCTTACAAACAAGGTTGTTTAGAATAATAATTCCCTCTGGTCACTATGTAATCTAACAATATTTCATAGAACTGGAACAGTGCACAATGAATTAAATCTTACTATCATTTTCAAAATAATGAAATGAGTCTCAACATCATTGAGATTTTATGTTAAGGGGCAGAAATATTGTATTTCAAAGTCAAGTGTGTTGTCAAGTATGTAATATAATCCCTGAGAGCTGATAGTTATATTCATTAAATGATCTTAAATTACAGTTATTGCCCCTTCCACAAAACAGCTGCAAAAACACTGATAACAATGCAGAATCCCAGTTTCCAGGGATCAAACTACCCTTTGAACTATAGTTTCCCACAAAACATCCAATAATTTGCCCTTAGGATATTGCTTGATGAAACTGAGTTATTTGTGTCCTCTAACCCTTAATTCGTTACACAAAGCTTGCAGGTTTGGGTGCTTTATTTATTTATTTTAAAGTATAATAGAAACTGTTCCAGAAATGTCATAGCCCCAGCAGCATAATCCTATTTAGAATAGAAGTGTTGTTCAGCAGCAGAACTGACAGGGGGATTTTTGGATGTCAGTTAGCACACCCAACTGGCCTTCTTGTCCATGTAATACAATTCAACCTGATGTTAGCTTCTCTCTGATTCAGCAACATGCCATTACCAAGCAGTGTGACTACAAGGCGAGCATTCCATACACTTTGCGTTATCAGCCCTCTCTTTGTGTTTATGATGGAATAGTGAATCCAGGTATAAAATTGCTGTATATCTTTAGGGGAATAAAGATGGTGCGTCAGGGGAAAAGTAAAAATCCAACAGGAGCAAATCCAAGACAATAATATCAGCACAAGCAGCAGAGTCAGTTCTCATTTTCACCTATGTAAATTTGGAATACCTCCATTGTTACCTTCTTGGAGTTACTCCACGTTTCCACTGAAATCACAGTCTGGCCCCTTGAGCCAATGAATATTCAGCCATCCAGTGTATGCTTCAGTTAGAAGAGCCTTTGTATTCTGTACAATATTATGACATACACCTCTATCCCGATATAACGCTGTCCTCGGGAGCCAAAAAATCTTACTGCATTATAGGTGAAACCACGTTATATCGAACTTGCTTTGATTTGCCGGAGTGCGCAGCCCCGCCCCCCCAGAGCGCCGCTTTACCGCGTTATATCCGAATTCGTGTTATATTGGGTCACGTTATATCGGGGTAGAGGTGTACCTCTGACTCTGCATCACTTCTATTCCATCCCACCATTTAGGACACTGCTATAGCTAACTTACAACGTTATGGGTCAAATTCAGCCCTGGTGTAGCTCCGTTAAGATGCACTTGCTTACACCAGGGCTAAATGTAATGTTATTTATTTACTGGCACAGCTTTCTAGAGCCAAATGCTGATCTCATTTGCACTAGATGTGGAGTAACTCCCTTCAAGTCAATGATGCTGGTTTGAGTCTGGTGTAAGAGAGAGCAGACTTTGTAAATAGATCCTTCATAGGTAAAAATCATGGATGTCACCCATTATATTCCATTTTTATATAACTGTGAAAACCCAATGAAAATCCAAGACTTAGAGCCACTTCCTTGGTCCCATTACATCTGCTTTGAGCTGTTCTGGCAATGAAGAGCAGACTGAACACTGCTTTAAGTGTTAGCTAAGGTGTTTCCATACGTAGTATAGGGAGCATTGCATAGGCTAAGGAAAGGGGGGATGCCCAGAACACCTTTGTGCTGCATCAATTCCCATGTGCCAGAACGATCCCCTGGGGTCCTTGCCATTTGGCACAACTTAGAGTAGCCCTTTGGTTTCTAGAAATTGCTCCTTGGAACTGGACTGTCACTTCAGGATCAGGTTTCCCCTCCTCCCCCAACCCACTCTAAGCTGAACTGGACATGGACATGGTCCTGTAGATCTTGTCCCAGGTGTATATTTGGTGCACACTCCAAAGCAAATTGTTACTGTTCTCATTTTGCACATGGGTCCGGATAGCCTCGCAGTTGCACCTTATATTGTAACTTTGGGCCAAATTCATTTTTCAGTTACACATGTTTAAATGTAAAACTTTTGATCTGAAAATCACTGGGCTCTGAATACAAAAATAAAAAGTTACAGCGAAAAATACCAAGTTAATGGTATTTTCCATTACTCAACCAAACAGTAGAAGGATAAAGAAAACAGATGCTAAAGATAAACACCTCTGGAGTGTTCTATGCTCATTCACATTGGCTTCACACCATGTTCGTTCCATTGATTTCAATAGAATTACACTAATATAAAGTGAGATCAATCCTAGGCTCTCAGCCATTACAATGATTTAAGAGTATGAAGTAAATGTCCTTCTTTGTTCCACATAATGCAAAATCAGTTTTAAGAAGGGTATGAAATCCAGCTAGATTATTTGCTAAATCAGGTCATGGAGCAACGCATGGCCTAGGATCTCAGCCTGCATTCCCTGCATCCCCAAAACCTTAGAGATCCTCAAGGACTGCAAGTTTAGGCCCTAAAAGACTTTAACTTACTCTGTGGGCTTGAGCTATAATTAAGGGCTATAGGGTCTCCTCCTAGGGTTACAGGGATAAAAAGCAGCCATGTCTGGGCATGGGTGACAGAAGGAGAGTGCTGCCTCCACATCATCTCCTCTTCTCCAAGCCTGCAAGAGTTTGGAGGGTAAGACTGTGCTAAGTGTCAACTTACTTGCTGCCCCATTCCACTCTGCTCACGAAGGACTCAAGGAAAAGTGACAGCTAGAGTAACGACAGGCAACATGGCTCAGGGGCCCGGAGGGAGCCAACAGGAGGCTGGGAGCCAATGTGGAGGCACAGTGCCTCCAGAATATCCCTGGCTTCTGCACATCCTTCAGATCCATGTAGATCTGCTGATTTTAGTGGAGGTCAATCTCCTCCCCTTCCTCTGCCACCCACCAGCACTTTTGCATGGGGGGAGAGCTCACCTCGTGCTCCAAATAGTCAAATTTGTAGGTTGTAGGAGTCATGGAATTTCCATACTTGGGAGCAGTCCATGTGGTTATAGCCCTAATTACATCAATTAATTGTAATGAGGACCAAAGTTCGCACTGTAATGAAAACCCTAGGGATGGAGCTGTTCAAAACATTTTCTACTAAATGTCTTTTTTTTTTTTTTGGCTGAAAAATGATTCTTTGTCAAAGCTGAAACACTTGGCAGTGTTCTAGCAATTTTGACAAAGCTTTTGCCAGAAAGTTTCTGAGGTGCAAAATGGTCACTTCCAGAGAGGGAGAAATCAACCTTTTTGATCCAAAAATGGACATTTTGATACAGTTTTGTTTCACAAAAACATTCTAAAAGTTTTGGTTTCATTCCAGTGTAATGAAAACAAATTTCCAAATCTCAAATATTGTCATGAAATGGAATTGTTTTTCTTCACCCAGCTCTGCCTAGGAGATAGTTTTCCAGGCCCTGCCCCACGGATAAGGCTCCCAGAGGTAACACGTACATGATGGTGTTTTTAGGGAGAGATTTGAGGATACTGGAGACTAGGGTTTTCATTTGGTGCCCTACAGTATGAAGTTATTCCTAACAGGGATAGTTTCTCCACTAAATCCATGGTAGAGTAGTTACTCCTCTAATCATGCAGAGGAAGCGGGCAGAGGTTCTATTTTCCACCATCTAAAGAAAAGTAGCTTTGTTCCCAACATAGAAATTGAGATAGATTTTAACTCTCTGATTGGCATTTCTTTTTTGATTACCTCATACACAAGGATTCGAAAA